AAGGGTCCCTATAATGGGGGTACCTTGGGGACCTGACCTTGGTGAGAACAGTTAGAACCTACCTTTGCCAATGCACTTTTCTGCAAGAAACCCCTATCTCGTAATTAAACGACATCGCTCTATTCGTGGATGAGTGAATTGTTTGTGCATTTGTTTGTTGCATTTTGTTTCTCACATTTGCATAGCATAATCATACAACAGTAAAATAACAAATAAAATCTTTTTGTAATTAACAACCTTATCTCGGACAATCTACATTTTAGCTAGCCTGGTTTCAAGTTCTTTGTAAGCTAAGTAGCCACGTGGACCGACATAAGAGATAAGGGGATATATAACCAATTTTTCATAATAAACCAACTTTATCTCAGACAGTCTATATTTTAGCTAGCCTGATTTCAAGTTCTTTGTAAGCTAAGTAGCTACGTGGACCTACAAAAGAGATAAAGGGTTAAAATAAAAAATAATAATAAAAAATAAAAATAATATAAAAACAATAAAAATTATTTGAAAAAAGAGTTTTGACAAAGTCAACCATACATATCTTCATCATCTTAAGAGTGGTAAAACCAAAGAGAGAAAATAAATGCATAAGAAAGGAATGCATACACATCATTCTAATAAAATTTCTCAAACATAAATTCATTCATTACTAGGATGGGTTAGATATCCTTAAGACAAATGCGAAAGAGGCCCCAAGCACGTTTGTAACCATCCACAAGGAAGGGACAAAGATGCTAAGGTGCATTAACCATGATGGGGAAGGAACCATTACACCGAAGTGGGTATGGTCCCCCACAAAGCGTAAGCTTTGAGGATGATGCCAAACCCATTGTCTTAAGGCATATCTATCCTATCCTAGTTATTTATTTCAAAAAACGAAATAAGGGAATGGGACCCCATTCATAGGAATAACATCAAATCCATAAACATCCATATAGGAAGTTTTCTTTTTTTTTTTTTAAAACCAAGCAAAAAAAATATATACAAAAATCTCAAACACTATCATGCATCATGTTAGAAAATAAAACAAGATAATGTTTAGCAAAAATAAACACTTGCATGCATGTACCTAAAAATCATACTCATAACATGCATTTTTGTTTTTAGTTAATGGAGGGATCTAGCAATAGACAGTTGGGAAAAGTGGGTATTCCTCGGTACCGTGTCGAAAGGTTGGAACAGTTATGCGCGTTAATGTCGCCGGAGGTTCGTTCCAATTTCGAGAGATCTTACGGACGAATCCTCGACCTCTTGAGAATCTATGTTGACCACGTATTCGTTAGAGTCTTGATCCACTTTTGGAGCTCCAGACTACATTGCTTTGAGTTCCCTCAGTTTGATTTGGTTCCGACCTTGGAAGAATATGAGCTTATGATATGATGGCCCAAGTCAGCCGGGGTCTACATTAGCCAGGGAGCTTATATCTCGGTAAACAAGGTCGCCAACCTTATTTGATTGCCACTTCCATAGTCTGCCCTAATGGGAAAAGGGAATGTCCAAGGGTGGAAGATCTCACTGCTAGAAAACCATTTATCCTCTTTGGCTGATAAAGGAGATTGGTTTGCATTCAACAAGACTCTAGCACTAATTGTGTTTGGGACCTTTTTGTTCCCTTTCCATAACAACATCGTGGATCACGCTGCAATGGATGCCTTTTTTTCCTGGAACGTACACTTGAAGAGTCTCGTGCTTACACTTCTTGCCAACACCAAGTTGTCGAGAGACTCAACAACCTACAAGCCTTGGTCGTTCATCAAGAGGCAAAGATAAAAGAGGCTCAACGATATAGTGAAGATATTAGCCAGGCAATCCACCATCAAGCCGAAGCACTTACACTTCATGTATGAGAAGCCGAAGAAGATCTACATAGACATAAGAACTCACCTGTGGGTTTCTTTAGGATTTTCCGATTCTGTCAAAAAGTGCTTCGAAGCATTGTATAGAGGAATGTCCACCTTTTGATGAAATAAATAAAATATATTTTTCTTCATCTTCCCAATTGTCTATTGCATTCATAAGTTGCATACATTCATACATCCCTCCTCACTATTAACAATAATAAGATAATAAAAAGGAAAGATTAATTGATATGTATCCATAAATCAGAAGAATGGAGAGAAAACCACTTGTCATCAAGCTCTCCCCAACGGCTGATCCACCTAAGGAGGACAATAAGTCTTAGCCGTTGGTCATCACAGTTAATAAGGAAGAGGGGGCAAGGACGCCATTGCGATTATTTATGCCTCATCATTTCCCCTACGAATCAAATAAAGTTGTACCTTGGAAATATGCAATAAATGAAGATGTTTCCAACATAGCCGACATTGGGGGCACGATTAGAAGCGGACGAATCTACTCCCCCAAGGAATCACAAGAAGACGCCCCCAAAAATAAAGAGAAAAATAAAGGGACCGAAAAGGAAAACAATAAAGAATCCAAGGAGAAGATCGATGAGTTACTCCGGTTTATAGGACAAGGTGAGTACTCCATCATTGACCAATTCAATCGCACACCTGCGAAGATAACTTTGTTATCATTAATAATGAGTTCGAAACCACATCAAAACACCCTGTTGAAGGTTTTGAATGAAGCATATGTATCGCATACCATATCCCAAGAAAAGTTTGAAGGGATCATTGGTAACATTACTGCTAATGATCACCTAACCTTCACAGATGAAGAACTCCCTCCCGAAGGGTCGAGCCACAACAAGCCCTTGCACATCTCTGTGAAGTGCAAAGAATATCTCATTTCCAAAGTTCTTGTGGATAACGGGTCATCCTTGAATGTATTGACAAAGTGCACTCTTGATAAACTGACAGTACAAGGAGCCCGCATGTGCCCAAGCGATACTATCGTTCAAGCCTTTGATGGATCAAAGCGTGAAGTAGTGGGAGAGATCAACCTGCCAATTCAAATCGGTCCCACTATCTTCAATGTGGACTTCCACGTGATGGATATTATTCCAGCATATAGTTGTCTCCTCGGTAGACCTTGGATTCATGACGCTAAGGCAATACCTTCAACACTCCACCAAAAAGTCAAATTCGTGGTAGGCGACAAGGTGGTCACAGTTCAAGCTGAAGACAACATCTTGATCAGTAGACCGTCCACCATACCTTATGTGGATGCAGCTGAAGAGGCCCTTGAAACATCCTTTCAAGTGCTTGAAATCGCCAACGTAGAAAGACTTTCCAACAATATGAAGGTGGCTCACATGATGTCAAAATATGGATACCGCCCGGGCCAGGGACTCGGCACAAATTCCCAAGGAATAAGGGAGCCACTGGATTTTAAAGATAATCCTTTGAAGCAAGGTCTAGGATATGACCCTACAAAGGATCGAGATACAAGAAAAAAAGGAAAGTGTCCCCTCCGTACACTGAATCAGATTTTTCGAAGTGGAGGGATATAAGCGTCAAGAGAAACTTTAGTTATTAGGTTTTCTTCTTCCAATTTTAAGGAATGTAAAGCCAATGACTATTAGAAATTACTCCCTGAGGCAAGCCCGACTCTCGGGCATTTTTAGGGCACATATTTCCCTTTTAATCGTAAAGAAGGCGATTCTTATTATCTACTTCTTTTCTTGTTATTCATATCTATACCTCATTAATAACCACGTTTAAACAAACGTTTTCAAAAGACATATAAATAATCAAGAGTGCGTTATTATAATAAAGCGAATTCACCATCACTGATTGATTAGAAACACAAGTAAGGTTTTACCTCGTCATAATAAAGTCGTGTTTCTACAATGTTGTACCAAAAAGAGAGAAGAAAAAAGAAGAAGAAGCCCATAGAAGCCAAAGGCTAAAAAGAAAGGGCAAATTACCCGGTAGGAAACCCACTAAGGGGGCTATGCAAAAGTTAGGGTCAACCAGCTAGGAAACCTAAACAACAATAAAGGGTAGCCTAGGAAAAAGGTAGGGTTACAAAATAAAGTTCGCTAGAATTCCTAAAACAAGATAAAAAAGGAAACCTAGACAAAAGTTAGGACAAAACACAACATCCAAGAGGTGCCCTGCTAGGTGAGCATGCTCATGTTGGCGAGTATTGTACCATCTATGAGCTCTGGTTGGAGGGCGGCAGGGATGTCTTCTCCATCAGTGCATCCCCAATATTCAGCCAGAGGGGTAATAAGGGGCCTATCATGATGGATCTTGTCGGGCCTTGGGTCCCAAAGTCATTCAGTGCCTTCAAAAAAAAGTAGTCGGGATTACATCGAATTCCTCAATGCATGCAGTAGATGGTGAAAAGGTCCGCCTTAGTGACCTTGCCTTGGCTTTCTTTTTGGCTATGAAGGGTGCCCGCCAGTAATTTGTGACAAATGCAAAGAGGAGGGAGGAAGGCGGTCCCCTTTGGATTGGCAGGAATGTGTTGGGAACCGGTAATCTCTTCCCATATTTGACCGGTGGTGAGGGTGGTTGGCCTTTCACAATATGCCCCCCTGTACTCTGCAGTTTGGATTTTTGTTGGCTGATGAAATCCCATGAGGACGTTGAACTCATCTAGGACGTTGGTCTGGTAGGCCCCATTCATCCAATATGTAACTGCTTGAACAGGAGGAACCCCAGGGATCATAGATGGTAGGTCTATGAGCGTAACAGAAGCGAGGAATTCCAACGTGGCAGTGCGGTGAATGCGGGTAGGTGGATCTCTGAGCAGGAAGTCCCACCCTATGCCTTGGATGTATCTCCTTACATCCTGATCCCAACCAAACATGGTTAGGATCCTGAAGTCTAGCCAGAGCATAGGGTGCCACGCATACTGGCTAATGTTGGCGAATCTAGCCTAGTGCTGCTCCGTTAGCTGAGTGGGGATGCTCCTTATGGGTCCCTAGGAGCGTTTCTGATGTGTTGACGACTCCCCACGGTCCATTACTCAACCAAAAACACTCAAATATGCAAGGAAAAGTGGAGGAGGAAGAGGGAATGCAAAAATGGGATGCCATGAGTCTTTTGGGAGCCTAAATTTATAGGCAAAAATTTGCAGGGGCGGACGACCGTCTGGTGTAGGTGGACGACCATCTGCCCCCAACGGCCACTCCTGGACGACCGTCTGCCCCCAACGACTACCCCTAGACGACCATCTTCTCTGAATGGACGACCATCTAGTCCCAATGACCACTGATGGATGACCGTCTGGCCTAAGTCGACGGTCGTCTGCTACCCCCTTTTTTGTTTTTTTGTTTTTTGAAGAAAATAGGACCCTGTTCATCAACATATATGCATGTAATGTTTATGATATGCGTCCTATAATGCTATTTCAGTTAATACTTTCAAAAAAAATTAATTGATGTGTTCCTGACGATGAGGCTCTTCTGGTGTCACATTCAGCTGTACCGTTTTTGTCGTTTCGGATTTGCCACAATCGAAGAATGATCGTGTCAAAGAGCTATTTGCCATACTAGTGTGTTTCTTCCTTTCTTTTGGAATTTCAATCCTCATATTGATTACTACGTTTCCATATTGCCCAATTAATCACCAGAATATCGTAGTGTGTTTCATCCTTTCTTCCTTGCTTTGGAATTTTGGATTTTCCCTTCCTTTTTTTGTCCTTCGGCTTCTACGGGCTCTTTTTATCATTTTCGTTTTCTTTTTTTGCACAACATTGGCAAAACACGGATTTATTATGACGAGGTAAAACCTTACTTGTGTTTCTAATCAATCAGTGATGGTTAATTTTTCTTTTTTATGATAGTGTGCTCTTAATATTTAGACGCCTTTTGGAAATGTTTACTTAAACATGGTTATTAAGGAGGTATAAACATGAATAGCAAGAAAAGAAGCAGATAGTAAGAAACACATTCTTTATGATTAAAAGGGGAATATGCGTCCTGAAAATGCCCGGGAGTCGAGCTTGCCCCAGGGAGTAATCTCTAATAGTCATTGGGTTTACATTCCTTTAAAAAATGGAAGAAGAACATTATAGACCCTAAATCTTGCCCGACCTCATAATAAAGACCAGAAGACCTCCTTTTCAAAGATGGATGAAGCCTAAGAAGCCAGTAGGAGAGACTATTAGGCCTCATACTAGGATAGGAGGGATTTTCTGCATGTAAATAAGGATTTTCGCCTTTTAGGGTCGAGACCGCCGTCTCGCCTTGCAAAAGTGGCGAGACCATCGTCTCGTTTGGCGAGACGGCCGTCTCGCCATCCTTGCAAGGCGAGACGGTCGTCTCGACCTTGTCAGACGAGACGGTCGTCTCGACCTTGTCAGACGAGACGGCCCATCTCGACCTGACAGGCACGAATCCCTATAAATAGTTGCGCCTTTCCCCTCATTTCACACAGTTCTTCCATTCTCTCTCTAGACATTTCTTTAGATTCTCTCTCTAGAACCCCTCCGAAGCATTTTCGGAGTTTCTTAGTGTTTTCTAGAGTTTTTATAGCGTTTTTGAGAGATTCTGACGCTGTAAAGAGTGAGGGGCTGCCAAAAAGCACCCAAATTATTAAAGAATTAATAGAAAGCGTGTCTCGGAGGTTTCTACACTCTCTCTCTCTCTCTCTCCTTTACCGCTTTATTTCAATTATGCAATAGATATAGGGCCATGTAGTCATAATCTCTAAATTTCGCAAAATAAAGGGTAAAAGCGTATTTTTCACCGGTTTAATTATTTAATATAGCTGGCCTATCATAGGGAACCCGAAAGGGGCGTCGTAAGGGAACTAATACTTCCCTTACACGTAACTAACTCCCTTACCCAACTCTGGTTCTAATGACCAAAGTTGGTTTTTCGAAAACCAACGCCTTTTTCATTCCTTTTCCGATGTTTCCGGTAAAAACATCGGTGGCAACTCCAGAAGAACCCTCCAAAAGTTCGTTCTTGGGTTAGCCCGGTTATCGGAAAATCCAAGAGCGCCTTTTCGAAAACCTCGCCCCTAGGTTCAGCCCGGTTATCGGACAACCTAAAGGCGTTGTAACTACACCTATAAAAACGCGAAAAATGGAAAGTCGAAACCATCGCGTCGCTCCGACCGCCTCATTTTGACGGCGGCGACAGATGGCGACTCCGCTGGGGAAGCCAAGAGAGTTGATCCCATTTAGTGATAGGCCAGCTTAAAAGTAAATAAACCTAGAAAATTACGCTTTTACCCTACCTTGTATTATAACATGTTTTCATGCTTGGCTTTAATAACTGTTACTTGTTTATACTTACGCAATTGTTTAAAATACAAACTGTACACAAACCCTTGCACACTACAGTTCCCTCTATATCCGGGGGCAAGTGAGAAATCCATAGGGAGTGGGTGGCAGATACGGTTCGCTATAGTGATGGCCTTGTGCCCACCAGTGTGATCGGAAACCACCACTCAAGGTGATAACCTTCCTCTTTTGGCACAAAGGCTGACTATGGCCTTAGTGCTAAGCATGGTCGGAAGGCTGGAGAGTGGGGACCCTATAATGGGGGCACCTTGGGGGCCTTAGCCTTGGTGAGAACAGTTAGAACCCACCTTTGCCAGAGCACTTTTCTGCAGGAAAACCCTACCTCGTGATTAAAACGACTTCTCGCCTGTTCGTGGATGATCGAATTGTGTGTACATCTGTTTGTTGCATTTGTCTATTGCATAGCATAACCAAACAACAGGAAAATAACAGAAAACATCTTTTGCAATTAACACCCTTATCTCGGACAGTCTGCCTTTTAGCTAGCCTGGTTTCAGGTTCTTTGTAAGCTAAGTAGCCACGCAGTCCGACAGAAGAGATAAGGGACGCTAAATAATCCTTTCGCATAAAGCCATTATTTATCTCGGACAGTCTGCCTTTTAGCTAGCCTGATTTCAGGTTCTTTGTAAGCTAAGTAGCCACGCAGTCCGACAAAAGAGATAAAAGGCTATAAAATAAAAATAAAAATCGAATAAAGATCCAATTTTAAAACAATAAATGGGACCTTGTTCAAAAATATTACACTCATTCATATAGGTAGTTTATTTTTCAAAAAACATGCAAGTATCATAAAACATGATAAACACTCGCATTCATCCAATAAGCATCATTTTCATAAAACATGCATTTTGGTTTTAGAAAATGGAGGGGACTAGTAGACAATTGAAGAAGGTGGACATTCCCCGATACCATGCTGAGAAATTGGAACGGCTTTGCGCGATAATGCCACCAGAGGTCCGCTCCGACTTTGGAAAATCCTATGGACGGATTCTCGACCTGCTTAAGATCTGTGTCGATCAAGTTTTCGTCAGGGTATTAGTTCATTTTTGGAACTCCAGTCTGCGCTGCTTCGAATTTTTGCAATTTGATATGGTGCCCAACTTAGAGGAGTACGAAATTATGCTGAAATGGCCCAAATCAGTCGGGGTCCATATCCGCCACGGGGCATATACTCCTGCAGCACAAGTAACTGCCATCATCCAACTACCTTTCCGGCAGATTACCCTGATAGGAAAAGGGAACATCCAAGGTGGGAAAGTCTCAATGTTAGAAGACCATCTGCCTGATTTGGCTGAAAGGACAGAATGGGTCGCTTTTAACAAAACCCTGGCCTTAATCATATTAGGAATGATCTTGTTTCCCTTCCACCTCGACATAGTGGATCAAGCCGTCATAGACGCCTTCTTCGCCTGGGACGTGAACTCAAAGAGTCCCTTGCCTGTAATTCTTGCCGACACCTTGCTCTCGGTGGAATTCTGCCGCCAGAAGCAAGGAAAAACACTTCGTTGCTGCTCTTCACTGCTCTTTGTGTGGGACATTACACATTTTTACGCCTCTAGCCACATGGGGATGTTCCCCGACCCTTTGAGAAGCTTCTCCAAAATCCCTCTCCAACGACGCTTAACTTCAGAGTAGAAGGACGAGTTGGAACAATGGGACGCCAACAATTTATCCTGGGTCTGCCCTTGGTTCCGACCCGGCCCAGTCCTCATCGGATGTGGAGACTATCCGAACGTACCCTTGATAGGACTCAGGGGTTGCATAGCCTACTCACCTAGAGTAGCTATGAGGCAGCTCATGAGGACTCAAACTACAATTTCTCGAGGGGAACTCGGAGGACTGTGTTTCTTCGGAGACCCATGCACAATCGCCAACTCACTAGCCGTGAGAAAAGCATGGGAGAAACCAGTCTTTATGGGAGATAGAGAGCTAGGAAAGGATCGAGTGGCTGTCTCCGGTGACTATGAGGTGTTGAGAAAAAGAAGAGGGATGTCTCAACCATCCACCTCACTCATTACAAACGACAACAGTGAAGAGTTGCAAGCTCAAGTCGATGCCTTGACCCAGAGGATAGAAATCATGGGAGCCCAGATGAGGGCCCTTGAAGAAAGAGAGCAAGAATCTATCCTCACCATTGATGGTCTGCAAAGGCAATGCAAGAAAAAGGATCATGAAATAGAGTGCCTCAAGGACCAGTGTGCTGACTCTAATGAGCAAGCTATCCGAGCATCCAAAGCCGCTAGAACCAACTCGGATAGTTAACTCCAAGAAATAACCGCCAAATCAGTACGCCTTGAGGCCGAATCAGCAAAACAGGCTCAGACGATCAAGGAACTGTTGCAAGAACTCACCAAGACTCGGTCAGAAATACGCCAAGAGCGGGAGGCCAATCGGAGACTCAACAAAAGTCTCACTGAGCTACGCTGTAAAGAAAGAGACGAGCTAGCTCAGTACAGCCAAGTACTACAAGAAAAGGACCGAGCCCTTGCAAAACTCGATGAATTGCAAGCCTTGGTCGTCCATCAAGAGGCAAAGATCGAAGAGGCTCAAAAGTACAGTGAAGATATGAGCCAGGCGGTCCAGAAGCAAAGCGAAGCACTTGCTCGTCACGTCCGGGAATAGGGGAATAGGGGAATAGGGCAAAGCGAAGCAAAGCGAAGCACTTTCCGCTTCTGTCAAAAGTTGCTTCGTAGTATGGAATAGGGGAATGTACACCTTCCAGTGGATAAATGAAAATTTTCTTTATTCATCAATTGTCTACTTGCATGCATATCATTCATCTGCATATTTAATTTCCCCTCCTTCATTCTTAATAAATAAGATAATAAAAAGGAAGGATTAACTGACACGTCTTCCAAATCAGAAGAATGGAGAGAAAGCCACTCCTAATCAAGCTTTCCCCAACGGTCGACTCGCCACAAGAGGAAAATAAGCCTCGACCGTTGATCCTCAGAAATAAAGAAGAGGGGGCAAGGACACCAGTGCGACTATTTATACC